AAAGCAAAAAGCAAACAAACCCCACAAGACCCATCGGAAATGGGGGGGGGGGCGAAAAGCAAACAAACATCACAAGACCCATTGGAAATGGAAAAAAAAACCCAAAAGCAAACAAGCCCCACAAGATCCATCGGAAATGGGGGGGACCCAAAAAGCAAACAAACAAATGCCGCAAGACCCATTGGAAATGGGAAAAACAACAACCAGAAAGCAAACAAAACCCTGAAAAACCCATCGAAAATGGAGGGGGAACCAAAAAAACCCAACAATCCCTGCAAGACCTATCATAGCACAGAAACATAATATCACCACCCAGCCCAAAACCACGCTGCAAAACCCACCCAGAACAGTTTTTTAAAAAGTAGAAAGCAGCACCTTACCTTGCCAGGCAGTCTGAAGCCTCCTCCGATCGCACACTCTCACCGCTAAGGCGAAAGAGCTACAAAGAAGCCACCTCTTCGCCACCAATGGTTAGCAATTTGAATTCCCTGCCTTTTTTCTGGTTGTAACTTGAAGCTCCGGCCGCAAGTCGAAGCAAAATTTTGCAGCTGGAGCTGGTCATAACTCAAAATGGTAGTATGTTGGGGCATTCATAAGTCGAGGCACCACTGTATTACCAGTTTTTTTAAAATAAGTAATATTTGCCCACCTACTTTTAAAATGGTTTATTTTCCACAAGCCAGCACAAGTACATTGACTTTCTATGATGGGTAAATTCAGTGCATAGAGTGGCGAGAGGTCTGTTTCTTGCACGTGATGCACCAGTTGCTTAATAGCATGAACATACAATTTCCCTATGATGTGCTCTTTTCAGATGTCAAACATTTTGTACCCATGCTATGCTGATGTGTTGCCTTGCTGCTACTGAACATGCATGCGTAGAAATCCATGCATATACCCACTACTTGGACAGATCTTTGAAAATGTACCTTTTGTACTACAGCTCCCAGAATCTCCCAGCCAACTTACAAAAAAGAAACATTTCAAAGCTTTGTAGGGAAAGGATTGTCCCACTGTTTCACCATGTTTACCAAACATGTGGTGTGTCCTTAGATTGTTTTGAATTCCAGGGCTTGGCCACAGGACATCATAACTCTCCAAATGTCAAAAGGGGTTTCCTGTCATCACTGAATGATAGGTAAAAACCCAAACCCAACTAGTTCCTAGATTAGTTGGATAAGGTGTACAGAGTTCTACAGTAGAGGATTGCTTTATTACTGTTTAAATCTTAAGAGAAAGAGAAAGTGTGCTCATGAAAATTGTGAGCGTTCCAGATTTCTGGAAGAAAGGGGGAAATCCCATCAACTTTCCAAATATTTCTTTCACATTCTTCTTCCTTTTCTGTACAGAGAAATATTCTGTTAGACAGTTCACATTAAACTATTCCTACTCCACCCACCACTCGCAACATTAACTTATTTAGTCCATTACAGCTGATATCCCAAATGAACACCAACTTGTTTAGAACTTTAAGGTTCCAGTCCTCAATACATTTACTAAGGAAGCAAGTCTCCTGCAGCACATTAGGAGTTACATCTCAAGAAGTGTATGAAGGATCCTGATGGAAAATCTTGGCTGGGGAAGGCAACATATTTCACTGTCTCTACTGAACTTTGTTGTTGAATCTCACATGACTGACATTGGTAATGTAGTACAGTGTAATAGACAATTTACTCCTTAAGAATAAAGTAGGGAGAAAAATGGAATGCTGGCTTTAGTACAGTACAGATTTAAAGTGAATGTAAGTGGAGAACTTAATAGTGGGTAAGAATGATACTTAAGAAATTCTCTTTATCTTAGATCAAGTCCCTGAGAGATTAAAAAAAGAGGAAAATACTCAGAACCTCTGCCAAATCTTCCATTTTTATTTTTAAAAACCTCAAAACATAGACGTCAGAAAAATATATAAACTCAGATGGAATCCTGTATACAGAAACAGTCTTGCGGAACATCCAGAGTTAATATCAAAGAACTGCTAAACCATGTTGGCTTAAAAAGATCAGGATTTGCCCCTCTTTTACAATTAAAATGTGCAGAAAAACACTCTGTAATTTAAATTTATACTGGCATAAAGTTGTCTAGGAGCTCATCCAATACTATAAAGCCCATATACCATTTTTTAAGAAGTGTGTACCTTTTATTAATGACCTGCTAAAAACCCCGTCTTCAAATGGTAAAACTTCCAATAATTTTTTTTTAAAAATCTAGCTTTGTAACTAACAAAAACTTTAGCTGCTTTACTTGTAGGTTTAATAAAGTTTTAGCACGTCTAAGCAAAACTACTTTGTATAAACAATAGCCTTCCCCAAGAAAAATATGTTAAAAGCAAGATCTGCTGTCTCAAGTTTATGATTTTATCATTTAGCAAGGCAGTACATGGCAAACCTTACCATTGCAGAGCATGGCTTGACATTATCAAATACAGTATCGGCCCAAATGAGAAATATGATATTTAGGAAGATCAGTGAAGATGTACGGGGGTAGATCATCTCAGAGCTGAAGAAATGAAAATGTTCCTTTGAGTTTTGAACTGCCTCGGAAAACACTGTCCACTAGCTGATGAAGTCTTGAGTTAAGAATTCAGGAATGCGTACAGCACAAACATGAGCCAGAAAGCCAACCCTTTTATGTCTGAACTTCAGAAAACTTACATAAATGAGTTCACGTAACCCATACAAGGGTTACTCCACAAAGTAATTATAAACTGTAAAATAACTGAATACCCCAAATAATTATCAGTTTAATTTAACAGTTTCTGATTCTTAATATGTGAAATTAAATCATTTTTTAAAAAAATGTGCCAATTTTCAGCAGGACAAATTACAAGTATCCTATTTCCCAGATACAATTTCCAAACCCCTGAAGCAGACCAGTTTCAAACCTGCAGCCCTAAAATGGTATGCCAGTAAATCCAGACACCATTATCCTATACTTCTTAATCCTTCCCTTCACACTCTTTCAGAGGAGGAGGGACTACGAAGGGAAAGGAAGAGAAATGATTCTCCTTTTACTGACTTACCATGTTCTGGAGGTCTTTCCTTCATTCCCTCTGTCTTGTCTTCAAGTAAGAAGAACGTATTGGCATGAAAATGGTTCCATCTCTTAACATGTTCAGGTTCTTCTTATTCCCCTTCTATGAACTGTTTTGAGTCATGCAGAAGGAAGTGAATGAGAAAGTTGGCAAGTGGGGGCACAGACAAATGCACCCTATAGGACATGATGCCAAGTGCCAATGGCATATTTGAATCCAGGGACATTTTTTCTTGTGAACAAAACAACACAGATTTGAACTGCTGATTCCAGAGACTGACCATCTGGAAACAATAGTCTACAGTTCAGCATATAGGAACTTACGCAAACAAAGCTTAGAGTTCACTAAGAATATGTATGTTATGTAATCTATTTTCTTTTCCAAATATTGAGAGGTTACACAGTCATAACAAATATTTCAGAATCCCAAACTGCACACATTACAGAAACAGAAAATAAAAGCACTATATGCACCAGAGGCAGGCAAATTGACAACTCCAGGAACCAATGCTCTGCTCTTAGTGATATCTGAGGCCACAGGGATCTTCTTGAATCCAAAAAGAAAATAAAAACCTCAGAAATGACAGAAGTCTACTTTCAGTTTTGAAAAACTGTCATTTTGGAGTTGTTAAATGTTTTAGGAGGCCCCTGCTATTTGGAAGGTGAATCATACTTCCTGGAGGTTTCTTGGAGTGGCAATTTACTTTTTTTTTGCTAGAGGTTTATTTTTTGTGAGGTCTGGAAAAGTTAGAAGGAGCAAAAACAGCCATGGGGTCTTCATATGCAGCTCCATGCCTGCACTTTGTCCAGCATATATATATATAAACACATTTTATGGCATATGCATTCTCCCTGATGTTCCATAAAGTACATAGTTACTCCCAAGGACTCTTTCTCACGAATAATGACAGGATACATGGAATGAGGCTTTTAGACAAAGTATTCAGAAATGTGTACTGTATCATTTTGTATACATTCTGCAACAAATACTGTACTCTTTAGAGCTCTTGATCTTGGCAGCAGTGCTTCTTAGCAGATTTGATCCAGTAACTTACACTCATCAGCTCTCTTTCTCAACAAAACATTTATTTAACATGCAAGATTTTTTTTAAAAAACCATACTGTACAGTAATTATTCATTCAAGAACAGTTTACTTACAAGAGACATCTAGTCATGTATTATATAAAGTCTAAAATGGAAATTATTAGCTTGTTTAGAGGAAGGAAACCTGTGCATAGTAAACAAAATAAGCGTAGATTGATCTGGGAATATATTATCTGATGAAAATAAAATTAAGATAAATTCAAATAATACATTGAAGGTTATGCAGAAGAAAGTTAAAGATGTCAGATTTACTCAAAGAAAAAAATATTTTGAGGAGGAACTTGCAGTTTTAGAAAGTGAAGGGAAAACTGCATTAAAAAAAAGTCAGTAAGGGATGAATTGAATGTCCTGGCTTTTTTAAAACAGAAGCTTAGTATACATCCACTACACAAATGCCAACATAAAGTTCCCCCATGTTAGAGGATCCCAGGAGATCACAGGACATGATCTGTGTACTGTGGCGACTGGGAGAAGACCAAAGGGAGGACTGCTGGGATGTGGCTGTAGTCGCTCTGTGCCAAAATATATTGGATTTTATGAAACGGGGAAGCAAAGGGTGTGAGTAGGTACAACACACACAATGGAAAAAACATGCACACCCATCAGCCTCTCGGATCAAATGTTGCCATAAAATAATGCAGCCTAGAAAGTTACCTTCCAAATGTCACACTTTTTCCTTGGATCAGACAACCTAGGGTTGTTGTTTTTTCTTTGGTTTTTTTGCTTTCTCCTTCAGTTGCGTTGATAAAAGGATGCTGCTTTTTTAATCTGGGAAGAACAAAGGAACCGGGGGAAAAAGCAACTGAAGAATCCGAAAAGTAAGACGAGGGGGATTTTTTTTTTATGTGTGTGTGATCTATAAAGGCATCACCTTCTCTTGAACTGGTATTTCGGAATGACTACACGGCTCCCTTTTATTTCAAGAGTGAGGGTGGCAGAGGGGTGACTATGCACAAAACGCAACGAAAACCGAAACATTTGGGGAAGTGCTAGATAACAACCACACCCTCGGAGGCCTGCTCTGTCAGGAGCCTGAGGCGCACTAAACGCTCCCCGAAAGCCTCCTCCTCAGACCCGAAAACGGCTCCGCCCCCTTCCCGCGCGCCTCCATTTTCCCTAGTTTCTCCGGCCCCTCCCACCCGTCAGCGCCGCCGTCGCCCTTGGTTTCCGTTGCGAAGGAAGCAGCGTCGCCGGTTGCTACGATGGCGTCTCGCCGTCGTCGGCGCCCTGGAGGCAGCGGAGGGCCTTCGGAAGGCGCTCCTGAGGCGCCCGCAAAGGCTCCCTGGAGCCGCTGCGCCTCCGCCCGCCCGCCCGCTTCGCCGCCGGCTGCTGAAAGGGGGGGGGGTCGGCGGGCCAGCCCCTCCGTCAGACTCGCACAGCTTCCCTTCTGTTCTCAGGATAGCCGCCCATTCCTCCCTCCCCCCCTCCCTCCCTCCATCCATCCACCCCTGACCGGGCCTGCGAGGGAGGATGGCGGCCGCCGCGGAGGGTTAAGCGGGCTGCATGGAGCCTGTCGGAAGCGGCGGCGGCGGCGGCACTACTGGCAGCGGGAACGGCTGCTACTCCTACTACGGCCGGTTGACGGAAGGCAGGAGCCCAGGCGAAGGAGGAGGCAAGGCCGTCGCGGTTGAGGGCGCAGAAGGGGAAGCCGGATCCGAACCCGCCGCCGCGGCTGCTCCGGGGTGCTGGAAGAAGGGCTTCTCGGGAGGTGCACCGCTGCGGGGCCCTGGCCACCGCCCGGTTAGCGCCCTCGGGCCCTGCTCGTATCCTCCACCACCCCCCTTTTTTGCCTATATAGTCTTGGAGGTGACAGGGAAGGAAGGGCGGGAAACGACAGCAAGCTCCAGCCCTCTGGATGAGGTATCCAGCCGCTCCTCTATAATCATCAGGCTTTTTATCAGAGCTTGGGGAAGAAGTTACTTTTGAAGTTACCTCACACAGAACCCCCACCCACCCAACATGTGGCTATGTTGTAAAGGGGATAATAATAAATCTTAGAACTGCAGAGCAGGAAGGGACCCCGTGGATCATGGAGGCCAGCCCCTGCCAAGGAGGCGCAGTGGGGAACCCATTTGCATCTGGGAGTTATAATAATAATCCAGCCCTGCCAAGGAGGCACAGTGGGGAACCCATTTGCTTCTGGGAGTTACAATAAAAAAAAAAAAGGAACTTCACCAAGATCTGTTTTCTTTCTAGGTCTTATAAGATGCGGGGTGCCTTCCTTCTTGATTGTTTAATTCCTTGACAGACTGGCCATATAGTAGCTGATCTTTATGTAAAGAATGAAGGGGAGAGAAAGATTAATGTTGTAGGGGTTGAAAGTGTTAGACTGGAATTTCAGGAGACTTGCGTTCAGTTCCCCATAAAGCCAAACAGGGCCTTAGGTCTTTCGATAGCCTACCTCATAGGATTGCGTAGATAAAATGGGTTTATGTTCCTGTCTTCAACTCCCTGGGTATAAACGTTTAGATAAAGATGACTACGGGTAATAACGTAATTGTCATTCATCCCCTGAAAGCAGGGGTTCACCCTGTAGAGAGGAAAGTGCAGCTGTAATTCTCCTTCCCAAGTTTTCTTCTAAAAAGATGTTGCTATGTCAGTCAGACAAACTGACATTCTGACTGCTCACATGAGATACATCCACACGTTGTGGGGCAGAAAAAAGGTTATTAGTGGAACATGGAACTTTGCGGTGTATACCTGTATGTTCCATAAATCTGTAAACCTATGTTTCTTGTAGTCTTACTTTAATCTTTTCATGAACACTGAAAATACCATAGGTATACATTTCATGTAGTGTTTGAAATATTTGAGAAAGCCAAGGAAGCACTTGATTGCTAATTCAGATTTTATTGCCATCTGAATCATGGTACAGTCTTGTGGGAATCCATGTTTTAGTCACTGGACCTACGTTTTAAAATACCATAGGTATACATTTCATGTAGTGCTTGAAATATTTGAGAAAGCCAAGAATATGTTGAGCTCCTTGTCAAGGAAGCACTTGATTGCTAATTCAGATTTTATTGCCATCTGAATCATGGTACAGTCTTGTGGGAATCCATGTTTTAGTCACTGGACCTACGTTTTATTTCAAGTTTGTAATCTGAATTTTGAAAGGCCAACTAACACTCTTTTAAAGTGCCAACCAACATTAAATGATCCCCGCCACAGTATATTAAATTGGCAGAGTCGGACAGGATATTAGAATTTAATATGTGGGAATCCATGTTTTAGTCACTGGACCTACGTTTTATTTCAAGTTTGTAATCTGAATTTTGAAAGGCCAACTAACACTCTTTTAAAGTGCCAACCAACATTAAATGATCCCCGCCACAGTATATTAAATTGGCAGAGTCAGACAGGATATTAGAATTTAATATGTATACACATTTAACCACCCTGAAGAACCTGAACCAAATTGCTTTGAGGCACAAAGAGCTGTCCTAGGCATAAATACCTGGATGAATATTATACTGAAAATTAGTGAGGCTTTCCTCTGAAGTATACTCCTACTAACATAACCCCTGTGCTTGATTGCCTGCTTAGTCCACCATTATTATCCTTATATTGTACTTTTAATGCCTACTTTAATATCTGTGAAAATCTATACCAGTCTCCCCACAGAAAAGTCTCATTGAGTTCAGCCAGGCTTACTCTTCAGATAAGTGGAATTGCATTCTTGGAATCTTTGTACTGGACTGTGTTAAAGCTATATTTTTGCATCTAGAAAAAAATACTGCAGTTGGACAGTCTAATTAGGGACAAGAGAGAAGAGTGAGATAGCTCTGCTTTATTGTTTTGAATGGCAAGCCACTTAGTTGTATTTATGAAATTCCCAGTAAATTTCAATGGTATTAATTCTGAAGTACATTTAGTAATAACTTTAAGATGAGTGCAGTTTTAATTCTTTACTAATGGCGATATTAACAAAAAGATGCATTTATTACATTTTAGAATATTTCTGTATCATTAATGATATTTCTATATCATTAGTTTTTTTCATAAAAACTCATAGTGGTTTACAATGAAACCAGAGGCAGTAAAACCAGATGCAGTAAAACCAGTGGCTAAAATGAATATGGATGGAATTGTATTCATGATTGCTTATCTTGATGTGGTGAATTGATGAAATGCTATATGTGTGTAAGTTTGCTCTTTAACCACATATCTGGCATTAATGGTTTAGTTTCTAATCAATGTCACAACCAAGAATGTAGTCTGGTTTTCCAGGATTTTTGCTACAATTTCCATTATCTTTAATATCATGATCAGAAATCTAAAGGTTTTTCTTGAGAGGGACTTATCGAAAGAGCGTCATGAGTTGCTAAAAGATCAACGATTATATCGTAATCAAGCACGAAAACATTCCATAGAAACAAATAAAAGAAGGAGGTATGTACCTATAGACTATTTAATTTTATTTATTAAGTATATTTTTATTCAGAAGTTTTGTTTTTTAAATGCATAAAAAGATGCAGATTAGTTGTTGGTTCTCTGTTTATATGAGTTACAGTGCAACTTGAGAAGTTAACTAGTAGTATGATTAAAAGTACAATAGTTATGTATTTCAGGATTTTAGTAAGGACAGCCAACGAGTTAGGCTGAAGTCCAGGAGTAAGTTGCCACTAGAGTAGGCCTATTAAATTACTGGTGATTTCATCAATCAGTTCCTCTGTAAGTTCAGTTGATTCAATGGGCCTACTCTAGTTGTGATTTACTAATGAATTTCAACCTTAGTGAAATTTAGAGTAGACCCATTGTAATCAGTGGGACTTGCTGGCTGTGTTAGTCCCAGTGATTTCAACAAGTATAAGCATAAGAATAAGGCTACAAGACATTGAGGATTGTGGTAATCAAGCTTAACACACATGTTTGTGACCTTTTTTGGGGGGGGGAGGTAAATGAAGTCATGGCTGGATCGTAAGATGTCTTGTTAGTATCTTATTACACTGCTCTTTGAACCTGCCATACTGCAATCAAGAAGTGTATAGGGTTCACCAGTCTAGACAGACTGAAATAGAATATACTTATGTAACAGTAGATTCCTTAGGTCCTATGTTATACTCCAGGTAGTATTCCTTTGCAATTTAACATTGATTGATGTTTGAATAGAAGGCATTGTATTTAATAGGATTCAGTAAGCAGAAACCTGTGAAAAATCACAGATTTGGAGACTGATTTGAAGAAGGGGGGGTGATGCATGTGCTATTTATTTAATCATTTACACCTTGCATTTTATTAAATGGGCACAAGTCTGTTAACAATAATGTACAACAAAAGTAAAATACTAAGAATTGTGCAATAATGGTCATCTATTACTGAAAGCAAAGTGAGACAGTGAAACAGCACAGTGAAAAAATGTGAAAAGTACAGCTGTCAAAAATAATTTAATGATAGGTTTTCGTACGTTGAATCCATGTCCTGAGAAGAGCATGAAAATATTACTAAAAAGGAAGAGTTCAACCATGCTTGACAAGCCATTAAACAATACACATCTCAGTTTAATATCAGTACACCTGCTCTTATGTATGACTAAGCCTGGATCAAGTCTCATTTCTTTAGAGACTTGAATCAGGAGTTTGTTTCTGTTTTATTTTTTGTGTGTATGAGAGAAAAAAAATGAATGAAATCACAATATGGTTGCTGTGGGTTTTTCAGGCTCCTTGGCCGGGTTCTGAAGGTTGTTCTTCCTACCATTTCGCCAGTCTCTGTGGCTGGCATCTTCAGAGTGCTGTCCTCTGAAGATCCTGGCCACAGAGACTGGTGAAACGTTAGGAAGAACAACCTTCAGAACACGGCCAAAGAGCCCGAAAAACCCACAACAACCATTAGATCCCAGCCGTGAAAGCCTTCGTGAATACAAATCACAATATGTTGCTTATTTACATAATAGATAAATGATCCAATTTTCTTAATATGAGTGCAAGTGGTTTTAGGGGTCAATAGCACTTGTTTAGAAATCCTTTTAACAAAATTATAAATTTAAAAACAGCTCCACCTGTCTTGTGACTCAGCAAAACTATTCCTTTTGTCAAAGCTATTTTCATAGTTCCTGTTTGATAATATTTATTAATTCATATATTTGGAATCATTTTGACCTCATTGCATCTACATGTAATCTGTATCCTCACTTCAGGAGGTGATCAGACTTCATAATAACATTCAATCAAAAGCCTTTAAATGACCCCTTTTCTCTGTTTACAACGTGACCTTTCCAAAATGTGCTGTTGAGGGTTGTCTCTAGAGCAAGCCAGCCAACAGCAAGAGTGATACCGAGGATGAAATTCCATACTTACTTCTTGGGAATGAACAACCTCGAACTCAACATGATTGTCTCTGTGTGTGTGTTTTTTTTTTTGTTTTGTTTGTTCAGTGCATCCAGGTTGTGTGTGTGTGTGTTTTGTTTTGTTTGTTCAGTGCATCCAGGGTCAGCTGTTTCAGAAACAAATCCAAGTCTGACATAGTTTGGGCTGAATAATTTTGAACACAACTGTAGCCCCAATCAGATCCCAGGTATATCTAAGAAACGGATGCTACATCAACCAGAACAGTGATACAAAATGTTTGCCCTCCAAGTGTTTTGAACTGCAGCTTCCTTTGTCCTTCACAATATGCTAGCAAGGGGTGATGGGATGTGAAGTCTAACAATATGTTAATTACTTCATGACCCGTGTCTCCCAGGACCTGTGTCTGGTTGTTCTTAGGAACATTTTGGTAGAGTTCGTAATTGGGAGCTCTTATGATTATTGTAATCAGGTATAATAACACTAATGTGTTTTAACACTCAACCAGCCCTTAAATTAGCATATGTAGGAGTCCATGACACAAAGGACCCTGTCTTAATGCTGACACAGCAGTACTGATGTCTGTTTTTTTAAGTTTTGTGGTACAATGGAGTTAATTTTGTCATATGTGTACTGTATTAGTACTCAGTTTGAAACATGTTTTCATATGACTAATATTTCAATATGGGAGTATGCCAAAGGAAATGTTTAAGCAAAATGGTATTGGCAACTGTTAGTGTTCTAGAAATTATTTTATTAAAAATTATAGTTCTTTTAAATAGAGCACTTGAAGAAAAATGGAAGGAGGATGAAGAAAAAGAACGAAAATTTAGGGAACAAATTTTGCTGCAACGAAAACTGAAACTTCAAGAAGCCACTGAAAAGTTCCAGCGTGGTCATCTCCCATCTTCACAGCGGAAGAGAGGAGGTTTGTATATTACACGTACAATTTGCAGTGCTTATAATGTCTGCTTCTATCAGTTAATAAACTGACAATTACAGGTGAAAGTCAGTCATATTAACATCCATCAGTAAAATCTATATTCTGTGTAGTGGCCATTTTGCGCAAGGCATTTAGTTAGGCATCCTTCAGTCTTGAAAGACTATGGAACAGCGTCTAGTGTGGGTGAAAAGGCCAATTCGAGAGTGACAATCCCTTCCACACTGAAGACAAATCCAATCTGTCCCCTGTCCAGATCCCTGATTTTGTTGCTTTCTTGACTGCCTCTCTGTCTCAGCCTGCTGGACAAGGGTTTCTTCAAATTGGGAGAGGCCGTGATGTAATGCCTGCCTCCAGGCTGAATGCTCAGATGTCAGGGTTTCCCATCTGTTGAGGTCCATTCCTAAGGCCTTCAGATCCCGCTTTCAGATGTCCTTGTATTGCAGTTGTGGTCTCCCTCTGGGACAATTTCCCTGCACTGATTCTCCATACATGAGATCTTTTGGAATCCGACCATCAGCCATTCTCACGACATGCCCGAACCAATGTAGACGTTGCTGTTTCAGTAATGTATATATGCTAAAAATTTCAGCTCGTTCTAGGACTTCTCTATTTGGAACTTTGTCCTGCCAGGTAATACCAAAAATGTGTTGGAGACAACGCATATGGAAAGTGTTCAGCTTCCTCTCCTGCCTTGCACAAAGGGTCCAGGACTCCCTGCAGTACAGGAGTGTGCTCAGGACACAGGCTCTATAGACCTGGATCTTGGTATATGCCTTCAACTTCTTACTGAGCCATACTCTCTTTGTGAGTCTAGAGAATATGGTAGCTGCTTTGCCAATGTGTTTATCCAGCTTGACATCTAGGGAGAGAGTGTCCGCAAACAGAGTGTTTGTGCAAGGCATATTCAATTAACAAATACATACATTTTTAAAAATGCATTTAAAAATACTTGTAGTAAATGGTAGTTAACTAATACATTATCAGAAAACAAAATATATCTTCGTTAGCTTCCTCCTTCAGAGTATATGTTGAATTTTACTAAGGGGGCAGCTACATAGGTGAATAACATTAATATTGCATCAGATTTGGCATTGTTAGATTCAGTGTTTTCCCTGATGTAGGCATCTTTCAGTCTGGAGAGACTATGGTAATGTGCTTTGAATAGAGGTCATGGAACAGTGTCTAGTGTAGCTGAGAAGGCCAATTTGACAGTGACACTCCCTTCCACACTGAAGACAAATACAATCTGGCCCCTGTCCAGCTCCCTGATTTCCCTGATGACTACACAGTTTAAGCTAAATGTGAATTGTTGTTGTTGTTTAGTCTTTAAGTCATGTCCAACTCTTCATGACCCCATGGACCAGAGCAGGCCAGGCCCTCCTGTCTTCCACTGCCTCCTGGAGGCAGTGGAAGACAGTGGAAATGCAAATTAGCCCAGCCTTTTCACCTCCTAAATCATAGGTTTTTTTCCTTCTGCTGTTGGGCTTCTACTGTTACAGGGAAGGTGTGAAGAGGCCCATTTACAACACAACAGATCCTCAGTCCTTATATACCAACACCAAAATATAGATAAGGAATAGACATCTCGGGTGCCAGGATGTCTGGAAATTAGAAGGACAATGAGAGGGGGACCTCCACCTCTTTCCATCCCCTGTCAAGAACCAATAGCTCACCTTGTCATAGCCCAAACACCCACTAGGGCAAGGATCCAAACTTGTTCCATCTTAGGCCCAATCACGATTTTGGGGTTTATGACTCCCTATTGTAAACAATGTATATGTGTCTGAGAGGATCCAAACTTGTTGCATCTTAGGCCCAATCACGATTTTCGGGTTTATGACTCCCTATTTGTAAACAATATATATGTATTTGAGCAATCTATTTTCCGAGCCTTCTTAGTCTTTATGAGAAAAGCTCCAGCTGTCTGTTCTGGCATACTTTGTTTTCTCAATAAAAAATGTGTTGTATCACAGCTGGTTTGTCTGTGTCTGAACCTCTACCAGAGATTAGCTCAAATTTCCTAAAAGACTCAAAATCAAGGCTAACACTACTTTTTGGGAAGCAAACCGACTCATATTGGTTTCAGGCATGTGCGATTTTCTGTGTTGGAATAGAACAGCCATGGTGGGGGTGTTGTCTTCATCAGGGTGTGTTTTGCTACTAAATGAAGAATACTCCCCCAGTGAGTTCTCCATTTCTGCCACCCAAACAGCATTGAATTTTTTTAACGCTTTCCTTCTCTAGCATTATGGCAGATAGCTTTGCTATTTGCATAGCTTCTTCTTCTTTTTGCATCTTTCTCATAGCTAGATTGCATTAAACTGCGGCAGTGCATAAGCAAGAGAAAATAAGCATATTATTTTACACTGTGGACCAGTGGATTTTTAGAATGGTCCTGACTTCTGTTATTTTATAATAATAGTAATAATTATCAATAACAATCTTAGAACTGCAGAGCTGGAAGGGACCCTAAGGATCATCCCGTCCAGTCCCTGTCAAGGAAGCACCACGGGGAATCGAACTCCCAACCTCCATCTCCTTAGCCAGAGACCTAAATCACTCAGTTATCCAGTGATAACTGAAAACTTGGTAATTATGCTCACGGTTCTTTTTTAATGCCTAGTGCAGAGAATACCAGAACCTAAATTGGATGAAGCTCTTCAGAAAATTCAGTCAACAGGATTACAGTTGTCATCACTCAGAGTTATTGAAAGGTAAATACTTTGTTTAATTAAAACATGCAGTCATTACAAGAATAACCTGATGCTGAGATTTTGACAAAATATTTATCGTAAAATGCTGCATAAAATTTGTGGATCTCTGTCTGCGTCTGTATAGCATATGCAATGAAAAGTGAATTGGTTTGGCGTTCTTATAATCCGCTCATGATAATGCTTACATTGTGATTGACAAATTCTCCTTGCTAATTTCTCATTCATAAGAAATTATGAATACCTTTAACATGGAAGCACATTGTTTAAAATTATTTTGTTAATGCTTTTAGTTCCTGCGTTTGGGTTACACTCCCAGGTACTTACTTCTTCATACTAATAGGTAAGGGGGCGGTGCTCATCTCCATTTCCAAGCCATAGAGCCAGCATTTGTCCAAAGACAGTTTCCTTGGTCACCTGGCCAGCGCAACTAGACACAGAACACTCTTAACACTAATATGTTTGAGTAATTTGATACCTCTTATTGAATGTTCTTTATTTCACCATATTGTTTCTATAGTTAAGGTGTTCTAAATATTTCCTAGGTTCTACATGTTTTAAAATATGTGTTCAAATTGCTTTTATTCTAACCCTAGGGAGATAATTTTGGGTGGAGTCAGGGAAGGGGAAAGGTGAACACTTATACTTAGTGGGGATATACTTAGTGACATCTGCATAAATTTTCTCCACCAGAAATGATCCTTTCCATTGGAAGCAGGGCTCAGCAAAAGCTGCCTGTGGTAGGATAAAGCAGGAAAGCAACAGGGCAAATCCGGACAGGGACCCGCTGCTGTTCCAACAAAATTTGGATGAAATGCAGCAGCAGCTGCAAAAACAGCATTTCAGCAACCTCCAGGTATGATGATTGTCAGAAATATGGGTTTTCTACATTCTTAAAGGCCAGTTGACATGCCACCTAAGGAACTGTGTTTGAAATTCTTAGTGCTCAGGCCCTTTGACTTCAATGGGAGTACACCCGCTTCATTCCCAGATCAAGGATTTGGAAGCCAGGACTTGCAGGATTTCTAAAAATGCCTGAACTATTCCCCTTCCACCTTACAGGGAGAACCACATATGTAGCTGGTCCCTATAAAACTCGATCATTACCAAGTCATCCATGAGGTGGGGTGCCACCTGGGTTGAGCCTAGGATGTTGCAGTATGCTCAGTTATTTGCAACAGTGTTACCACCATTTTGCTGCTCCTACCTGCTTGGATTGCACATGTTCATTACACTCTTACTGTGAGAAGTGATACTTCTTACTACAGTATTCTACGCACTTACTTCGACACTCAGAAAGTCAGTTAGGTGGCTATGTTTAAACTACAATCAACCCTCGACTTACGAACCGCTCTGACAGGAAAATATGGACTTGACTTGCGAACTTGGATTCAAGTTACGAATGGAAAAAATGTGCGGGGAAGGCAGGGAAAGCGGGAAATTTGAACTTTCAGTTAGCGAAGAGGCTGCTTGTTTGCTTCCTCGCTCATCCAAGCTGTTAGAGAGTGGGAAGAGAGACCTGGGACTGCCTGGTATTATCATTTTTAAATGTAAATTTTATTTTAAAAGGTGCTTTGTTTGGGTGAAATGGTGCTTGGGTAAAAGGGAGCCCATTTTTAGTTAAAACCTGCTTGGGTAAAAGTGTGCTTGGTTGCTTTAAAAGCTGCTTGTTTTGATTTAAAAGGTGCTTGGTTGAAAAGGTGTTCTTTTTAAATAGTGTTCATTTGTTCCCTCCGTGGTTTCCTGCCTTTTTTTAACCTACACCATCTTACATTAAAATAAAAAATTATGCCCTTAGTGGTAGGAACAGATTAACCGGCTTTGCATTAGTTCCTATGGGAACTAATGCTTTGACTTATGAACAACCCCTCGACCTAAGAACAAAAAACAGCCGGAATGGATTAATGGATTTTCAGTGCATTCCTATGGAAAATGCTGATTTGAGTTACAAACTTTTCGATGTAGTGTTCTGATTAAAATCAGTTTGTAAGTCGAGGGTTGACTGTATATACTGTGCAATCATTCTGTTGAAGCTGAGCTCAGGAAAGTCACTTTTTCACATTGCAACTCCCAGAACTGGCCAGCCACTATGGCAAAAGGGCTTTTGGTAGTCAGCCTAAATTTCTTTCAGAGCTTTGTAATGTAGTGTTCTGATTAAAATCACATAGAGAGAGAGAGGTGTGTGTGTGCGTGTGTGTGTGTGTGTGTGTGTGTGTGTGTGTGTGTGTGTGTGTGTGTGTGTGTGTGTGTGTGTAAT